AATATAATAATAACGTAATGTTGATGTAACGGCAATTATTTAAAGAAAGGGACATTTCAGAGAATGCGAATATAGATCTTCATTTAGATACTCAGCGTGGAGCGACTCCTTCCTTCACTAAGTTTTGTGCAGAAATATATTTTTTTCTAAGATTTAAGTTTGTAGGATTTTCTTTTCAGATTTCATAGATAGAAGAACTGTAGTATGAGATTCTTTACAAAGCTGTCATTACTTATTGCACTGATAGTCGTCATGTGGTTGCCATGGTACTACAAATGGCTGACGAGCTCCGGGTTCATAGACAGGTACGGCTTACTAGAAAATTGTTTCGCAAGCAAAACTGAATATATTTAAACCTGTAGTGGCGATGAAAAATACAAGAAACATGCCATGTTTTACTCTGTGTGTTCAGAGGAAAATTTCACAATATTAAAAACTGTTCTGTAATATTGCTGACATTACTGGTACATATAGTGCAATTTTCAACTGGTGTATAGATTCGCATATCGACATGCAAATGAATATTGAACCATCACTTTAAACTAATTATCATATAATTCAGTTCCCAGATTCACAAGGCAGATAATCATTAAACTTTGAAAATTGATTTATTGTAATATAATGAACAAACTTGAACGAAACCATTGGATTGTTCACTAAAGACATACAACTAAATTTAATATTTAATGACAACATATAAAGCCAAAGTCACCACTACAATAGAGGTCTAGTTGAAATAAAAAAAATAATATTTGAGTAGAATAGACAAACTATGGCGGGCGACGATGGACAATCAGTATATATTATGCAAATAGCTCAAATCTGTCATATTCAATGAAAGCAGAACTAAAATATGTGTTTAGGCTTTATATTTTGGTTGTGTTTCAATACCAATAAATTAATATACATCAACATTGATACTGTTGCCTTTAAGAACACTTCGCTTGTAATTTAAAACATCTTAAGTTATAACCCAGGAAGCATAGTGTCATCTTTAATGTTTCTACCAGTGATGTAGATTATGCTCATTATAAGCAGACACTGTTAATGTGTAACCATTATTTCCAGCGGAAGAGGTCATAGGTCGGCTCAGATTTTTGACTGAGTGTATTTTGGTGTCAAGACATAAAATCACCAGTCGTCACAAAATTTTCGGGTCAACTGCAGAAATTACAAAATTCATTTTAATTCTTGCTCTGTTGATGACTTTCATGTGAGCAAATTTTGAAATAACATCTTTGAAATTCTCACGAATTCGAAGTGGAATGCGAGGTTCCAATTGATTACATATCATCTGTACAACACACAATGTTTAAACTCAAGTATGATAACGACTTAACTTATATTTACAATGTTAGGTCCAGTTGGCATAAGTAAATCATTTGGGGTGTAATGTTTGAACTTCAAAATGATGAGAATTGTTAAGGATCACGGATTTGAACTGATCTTATAATTATGACAGTAGAGAAATATGAATATAAGATACAATTTTCCAATTTCCGTTGACAAGACACGATAATAACTGTCAAAAATGACGTTTGATAAATATTATTGGACATGCATGACACAATTCACGTACTTGCATGAAGTCATTTTTCTATTTCTCAGAAAGAAAGAAGATATTTCATCAAAACAACGAAAAATATTTTTGGACTGTGGAGGAAATGTTGCATCATCTGTCCAATTATTCAAGGAGAGTTACCCAGATGCAAATGAATATGAAATACATTCCTTCGAGCTTGACCCAAAGCTTCGTCCATATTTTAAACCTTATGAATTACAAGGGTCAGTTACTGCCCATGTGCCATGTGGGGTTTCAGACAAAGATGGTGAGTATAAATTCACAATATCACTGCACAGTACCTGAACATGGTATCAATGGTTGGACAACATACTTCAAAAAATCCAACAAATTAGAGATGCAAGCGTTATTAAAACCAACCAACTTTCAGTGGACATAAGTTTGGCGTCAACAATTTAAAGCAATTGGTAAAAAAATGAGTTATTCATGTACTGAGAACTATTGTTGTTATTTATTTGAAGACATATTGTTCGTTCGTCAACAACTCATCATTCTTCGATGGCTCATTTATATTCTGATGCAATGTGACTTATTCGTTCAGCTAATACAGGCTGATGTGATCCATTTTAAAAATGTGTCGTTTTGATAATATTTAATAGTACATAGAATGGCGATCGTAGATTATGTCTTTTTAACTTTGAACTTATCGTTATCCAAGCTCAATAGAAATTTGTATTGTACTCATTCACCGTGAAATTTGCATTTATGCGCTGTATTTGTGTCAATTTCATTCATATTTACATCCTGAAAATTGGGCAATGGATCTGTCACTTTCCCTCCAGCAGTCTCCTATTGGATTTCGATGACTGTCTTTTCGCTGGTGGCAACTTGCGCTAGATTTGTTCAATATTTATAAAAAAAAAATAATATTTTTGTGTTACCCATATGTGAAAATGAACAGTTTTACTGTATGAGCGAGTTCCGGGATTGACTCGATAATGTCAAAATTTGGGCTTATAGTGGACATGAACTTACATATAAATCTTAATTATTCGTTTATATGATGATCAATAATTGTTTTATCTTCACAGGATTCCTAACAGCTTACCTTGAAAGTGTTTGGTATCCAGGAAAAATGGGGTTTGCTGAGAGGGATCAACAATGGGGCGGAGGAACTCTTTTGGCAACTGACGACGAAAAGCAAAACAATTTTAAAAAAGGTTCAAGAAAGCTTTCTCGTCAAATTACAGTACCTATTATTGACCTATCAAAGTGGATTCAAACAAACACAAAAAAGGAAGATTATGTTATTCTGAAACTTGATGTGCAAGGTTCTGAGTATGCCATTGTTGACAAGATGTTGGCCGATAACACGTTTGAGTGGATTGATAAGTAAGTACATGTTGGGTTATTCTTTTATATACTAGTACATTAGCGATAGATTATTATGTTCTCACATTTTCTTTCAAAGAGCATGAGAGCTAAACAAACTCGACGACAAAAAATACATTGCAACAATACTAATAATGGGCTAAAATTATATGAAAAGCAGCTAGCTATGGGTTTATCACTGATGACTAAATGACAAATACGTGTGTCACAGACTTTTTGTCTGGTTTCATTCTTCCTATGCTATGTTATCATTGTACATCAATCTATAATCGTATAATTGTTCTGTTTGTTATTATTAGATTTTATGGCGAATTCCATAGTTATGCAGCAGTTGGCGTTGCTGTGGAGGAGAGGACAAGAATAAAAGACTCCGTAGCTGCCCGGGGAATACATCAAGTATTATGGGAAGGAGAAACAAAACACTATGCCGATTTTGATAGCCTTCATGAAATTCGGGTAAGATCAAATAAAAGCAAATATTGGTCATCGAATTTGTTTGTGAAACTATGGGGAGGAAATCAATATTTTGTTTGCCCCTCCCTTTTTTTAATGACACTTTAAACGATTTTAAAATCACTGTTGGCCTGAAGTTTCGCATTCTCCAATAATCTCGCATCAACCCAAACAGCTAGGTTTGTTTTTGTGTCAAATAAAAAAAGACACAGGCATGTCAAACAAGCGTTATGCATTGTCTGGCCACTTAATTAAACTCAGTGCATGTCAGTGCATGTACACGTTATCAATTTGTGTGATCCGTCTGAGTGTTAAATCCAATAGTAGTATAATTATATTTCTTACTTGTTTTAATTGCTAACTTATTTATTTATTTTAAATTTATGATTAAATTTTAGATTCTCCCAGTGTCGCTTGAATGAGTAAAATCGAGATTCTTGGACGGCGATTATCAGAAGAAGCCAACAACGATTTTCATTTCGTTTCTTATAGTTTCTCCTATATACTCTCTATTATTTTCAGATACCTAGTAACGCACCCGGTCAAATTCACACGTTGAACAACCAATGTGTAAAGAAGGAAGAACAATCTCAAGTCAGCATTATTATCGAGGTTGGCATGAATGCAAAAACTGCCAGACTTTTAATTGAAACAATTCATGCCTATGAGAAACACGTTCCTCTGACATTATTCGTTTACGGTGACTTTGTGGAATTGTATCCTGAACTAATCATAGAGTGGAGCAAAGTGTACGAGATTGGCATCAGAGGAAGCAGTCCCCTACCAAGGAACCTGTGGGCGTTACAAAACTATGGAATTCAGCGACTGTCCGTTGTCAGTGCCGAGATGAAATTGAGCAAATTGGGAATAACAACAGCATATATATTTCCACCTGAATTTGGAGAGACTGTCACCCTCATTGCAAAAGAGAGAAGTCTGCGAATGATTAACTCGACTGTGACACTCCCGCCAAGAAGTGGTAAGTATGCAAAAGAGACCGTCACTTTGTAGCAAAACCAAATCTTTCCAAGTCACTTCGCCTTAGGTTACATCATATCACAAACTCGGCTTCATTCCAAGTTGCTTCGTGCAATTATTTTTTCTTTCAAATTTGATTTTATTTACCGACAATAGTATCACCACGACATGCTATTATTGTGTATGGCACAGTAGTTTACTATTACTTCTTGTACATTTGACCGTTGTACATAATTAAAATTGACATCCATTATGCATCTATTGTTCAATTCAATAATAGTAACAAATGATAACAATAATTACTAAAATCAACGTAACAAACCGGGTCCCTGGCGGACAAATCAGGAAACATATACAACTTGTGGTCAGTAGTAAGAAAGAAACACGGATTTGGATTATTTTCGGTCATTAAATTAGACTAGTTTACATGTTCTTAAAGACCTACTTGCAGACAGCTAATGAGTAATTTATGGAATTATAGGCAGTAGTTGTTATTAATAGTTGATATTAGTAATCATTTAAACGTGCACGAAGTGATCGTGTGGGAAAGAAGTGACTTTGGTAGTTGGTAATTTGGAACAAAGTGACCGTGTGTATCAAAATAACCATTAGGTACGAACACTCCCGACGTTATCCAGTCACCAAAATGATTGGTGATCAGTCTTGGCGAATCGCGCATGATGCCTATCCATCTGGAACTTGGAACAGTGATGCCATCCATACGTTTCGTCGGCACATCCGCAGCAAAATCAGAATTGAGTTTGAATAAATGAAATTATCCTCACACTTGAACTTGGACGCGTATTATCTTCAATATCAGTAGAAAATGATTTAGAACTTATGTAATGTACGAAATATTGCTGTTACCGCTTTCAAGAAACTCACATTGTCGAATATTGTTATTATAATTATTTATTAGATTGTAATTTGGATCTGTAAATGCTACTCGCGTTATTGTGTCACAAATTCTTATTGTTTAATTTTATTTATCTGTTACAGGCAGTCTGATGTTAGAGACGTATTTCAAATATGAGGATGTGAAACGAACACCGAAAGCTCTAAGGATCATTCACGAAGAACTCGTGCATAGTGGGGGAATACTGAGTTTGGATTCTGATTTTCCAGACTGTCAGATGACGTCAATTTTTCTTCTGGATTATTTATACGATGTTTCGAATCACAAAATTACAAGTTTACGTGAATGCTTTGGTGGTAAATGACAAGTCGTTGTTTGATGCCGTGGAGCTTTGAAATTAATTTGAAACGACAATAACTAAATAGAATTTTAAATCAAACTAATAAAATAATAATATCAATAATCTATATTGAACCCTGCCAAATTGTGGTCATTAAAACATGGTTGGTCAGAAACATGTCCGTTTATGTTTTTGGACATCTTACCACTAAACTGACGTTCACTAAATTGTCAGCAACCAATGCCTGAAGTCATCTAGAACTTGATTTAAAAAGCTGCAGCTATTTATTAGACAGTTTGAGTCACATAATTTTCATTGAAATCACAATGACAGGCATGGGATGAGTTCTGTTGTTGGCCATTGTGCTTTTCAACCTAAGAATGAATACAAACACAATTAGGAATGCTGCTCACATTGATGTTCTAATTATCAGATTTATTTGATGAATGCAATTTATAATGTATTAATATGGGTTTCATTAATTCGTTTGCTTTGTCTCATGATTTATTTGGGAAATTTTGTTTGGAATAAATGCTGAACCTGATATTAGAGTGTCCTTGTTCATTGTGACCACTAATTGTATTGAAGTGTGTCTGGAACATGTTTATATTTCTGAAGTTTGAAACAGGTTTCAGATATGTTTACATAAAATGTTTCAGTCTAGCTCCACACAGATCTCAAACATGCCTTAACTGTGTGTTTTTGTAGCGAACACATTCATTTTCCAAAAGTGTCATCATCGTCCGTCGACATTATACTAGTAAATAAAGTGTCTGAAACTTGTTTGGGGAACATCTAAAAACGTCTCCTGTACAGTAACCAGACATGTTTCAGACGTGTCTCAAACATGGATGACATTAGTCCCATTTCGGTAAGAGAAGTTAAATATATAATTAATACTGCAAAATATTGTGTTTCATTGATATAACTGGTGGTTTCTCAGGGTTCAGTGAAATGCACGTTATCACACACTTAAACGTTCTGTTCTTGAAATACGTTATACTCTCAAAAATATTACTATCATCCCAATTCATAATTTGGTTTTCCAACATTGTTTCGCATATGATAAATGCCTTACAAATATTCTGTGTACAAATAGAAAATGCATAACGCATATATTTACATTTATAAAGGGAGAACACGAGTACAAATCTACAAAAGAACAGTACCGCTAAACGTGATGTTGCCTAATGGGTGCAATGCACGTGGAAGATTCATAAGCGTTTTTTGTAAGTGGTTTGGTAAAAGTTGGTAAAAAGCATATATATCGTTGATTGAGCTGAAATACATGTTATTCAAGAAATTTCAGCAACGTAATACTGCATTCAATATCATCCATTTTGAACATTTTTGCACGAATGTGTAAGAATTCACACTCGTTTTATATTTATTCACACTGGTTTTACACTCAACTATCAATTGATTTCACAATCTTTGATTGTGCGTAATTCATTCAACATAGTGGATTGTATTCTGAGCATGTTTGAATATTTTTTGTGCATAGATATATCACTAAGTTAATTTTAAGGTATGGTTTGCTTAGTACAAACGAAGAAGACGAAAATACTACACACTTTCTTCAGGCACGTCCAGTTATTAGAAAATAATGAACAGATTAAAGCACGTTCAGTTCAATTGTAGGAGTCAGAATCCGATCATGGACGAGTAATTAGTGATTGTGAGATTTCCGGAGAGCCCAGAGCGTCTATCCTATGCAGTGCATATTAATCACCTGATTTTCATAATTATTAGTTAATTGCTTTTTCAAGTACCAATCATCACATTTCAATAAAACTTGTACATAGATGTCATAAGACATTACACAGACCTGGTTTAAATCTGTGTGTATTAATTACCTAATTTGCATAATAATGTTTTTTTTTTCATCGATACATTGACGGTATGATACATTGCACAGACCTTGCTACTTCTACATAAGTTAATACATCACATTAATTACCTGACTTGTATAATATATAGTTTTCAGTTTCTGCATAAATATCCCATGTACTTCCAATGTATTATTTTAATGAATCTAATTGGTTCATACATACTTTGAGACAATGCAACAATGTATTTAGTTTGGGGATTATAAATTGCTGTAACAGTAATATGGATGACATTTTAATCTTAAATAAGCAGACAGATATTAGTTACCAAGGCTAATTAATTTTGTTAATATAAGTAATGAACTTTTCGCACACAAGAGTTCTTTCTGAGCTTTATTTTATTACATCTTAGCAGTACATAATCAGATACATTAGCATGAATCATAACAGAATACAAGAAACAGTTATATAAGCTAGTTATAACAGAATTATGAATATGAGGTATGAATATTCAAGTTACATTTTTATTGTTTAATATTTCATGTGCGAAACAATCTAGGAAGCAGTTGGATTTAGTATGTCTGTCTTAGTGTGTGTGGGGTGGGGTCTTTTTGTTGCCGAAATCCCAAGAACCACTTGACGATTTCAAAATAGTTGCACGTATTAATTAGCTAATTATCTTCCTGTATTTACTAAAATTCAAGTTAATTTTAGGATATTTTGTAGATTTGTATCAAATTTAGTCAGCACATACCGTGTTGCAGTATGCACATCGTATTATTTTTTGAACAAATTGTATTGTAAGTTACTTAACTTGCATAATTTTCTTCTCTAAATAGGTTTTATATTATAAATGTGGACCACAATTTTGCAAAAGTGAACATTGGTGTAACATGCATGCCCGACTAAGTAATGAAATTATAACCATACTTTAATAAGATAATTTGCATAATGTTATTTTTTTTAATACTTTCACTGATTGTAATGTAATACGAACATACCAACAAACCCTATGACTTTAACACCTTTGACATTTAGATATTACAAAATTATTTAATCTAGTTACTGTTACTGACTAATAATTAGCTAGGCTATTGCAAGAGCAATATTTTAGATGTAGTATGTTACGAACTACTAATTACATTAGATTACTATTGTACACCTAAAATAAACATTGTACACTACAGCTAGATACACCATAGGAAATACCATACTTAAATAAACTACATGGCGTTAGGCTATTACAAAAGGAATGTTCTAGTTGTAGTATGAGATAAACTAGTAATCCCACTAGATTGCTATTACATATACCCCAATTTTTATAATACTACCAATCAATGGACAATACATAATCAATATAGACAATGGAATGCAATTTATTTCTGAATATAATGCATTTGATGTTATGTTTGCGAACACAGTACTGTACACCTGTTAAAACCAAGCCATGCATGGCACAGTCCCCGTTAGTTATCAAATTTAAGATAAATAGTTTTGTTTATAGTAATATAGTTGGAACATAAACATGTCAGAAGTATGGATCCAGAAGATGATGCTTGATTATGATGATTTTTTAACATTTAAATGATTTACATCCTGTATCTGATTGTCAAAAGAGTACTTGTTCATATTGCGACTTATTGCGCTGGAACAGCATTAATTAAAACAAAATGGCACCAGTCGGCCATTTTAAATACATCTATAATATGATGTAAAACGAATATATAAAATTTGAACATAATCAGTCAAAGCATATCAGAGATATGACTCTAGAAGTGCATGCATATGAACAAAATGGCCACCAGTCAGCCATTATGAATACGATCTGAAAAATAAAATGAGGTGCACCAGGAACCCATATTCTCTTAAGTATGTACTAAGTTTGAACAAAATCCATCCATAAACGCCAAGATCCCGTTCTGGAATGCCAGAAATGCTTGATTTTTAATAATTTTTCAGCACAAAAATGGCTGCCATTTGGCCATTTTGAATCAGATAGTCAAACCAATATATCCATGTCATGATGTATAATGAATATATAAAATTTGACCATAATCAGTCAAAACAAGGCAGAGATACAGCACTAGAACTGCATTCATTAAAACAAAATGGCTGTCAGTCGGCCATTTTAAATTCGATCTAAAAAATAAAGTGTCAAACGTATGTACCAAGTTTGAACAAAATTCAAATATAAATGCTAATCCAGGTTTAGAATGCCAGAAATGCTTGATTTTTGATTATTTAAAACAAAAATGGCTGCCATTCGGTCATTTTGAGTCAAACCAATATATATCTATGTAATGATATATAATGAATATATAAAATTTGATCATAATCAGTTAAAGCATGGCAATAGAACTGATGTGCATCAAGGTCCCATAATGTCCAATGTATGTACAAAGTTTAAACAAAATCCATCCATAGAATTTTTAGCACAAAAATTGCCATAATTCGGCCATCTTGAATCAGATCTTGAAACAAATTGATGTCCGTATGTACAATAATATGTATGATATGTATGTGTGAAGTTTGATTGTGATTGGTTCAGGCATGTCTAAGATACAGCATGGTCAAGGTCAAAACGGGGACTAATAATGTATTTGGGAGATGCCAAAAATCTGTTATACATCCCATCATCTTTTTAAACACGGGTCACATGTAAATGCTTGATGCGATACATTATCGTCATGCATGGCGAGCGAGCGATCTGAAACTCTTATTGACCAGATAGGTCAGGTCGCTGATTAACCAATGGGTCGTTTGCTGTTGCTTGCGACTTCGACGGTAACAGTTTCCAAAATGAACCAGTTTCATCACAATTATAAACTTGTTCGCCAAAATAACCACCTTCATAGATAATTTCTCTCAGATTTTTGGGAAAAGTTCTGAGAGCGTCCATGTTCGCAGATCGAGCTTCGCCTTGGATTGAGACTGCGTGTATAGCCTGTCTTCTTTGCCATCGCAAGAACCACCCTGAACTGGCCTCAAATTCAAAGTCGTCGTATCTGAGTTGCGTGCTTTGCATTGGATGATGGAACCAGAGAGTGGAGTTCCGGCAGACCATTCCTGAAGAAATGTAACAACTTTATCGATGTCATCATTGTCGGACAATTTCGCACGTTTTTCTGTTCAATCGCTTAGACATGCTGCTCAGTTGAGAAATAGATTTCAGATACGGAATTCAACTCATTGTAGCCTGTTTCATAGAGTTATACCAAAATGGGACCGGCCGGGAAGCACGTACGGTCACAACTCGACACCGCTGTTGACACCTTGAGTAAGGCCGCCGTCACCCATTGAATCTCAGCAATTGACGGACAGTAGGCGTTAAGTTGTCTCTTTAACGGTTAGTTAAAAATACTATGCCGCGAAACATTAGTCTTTGTACTTCAAAACTGCTGTCAAAAAACAATAGAAATTTTGGGAGCCATCCAAGTACCCGCGACTTGGCCGAATCGCGACTTACCGAGGCACGACTTAGCGAGGGGTCACTGTATTATAAATATATTTTGTTTAATTAATTTCCACCATTACAAATTGATAAATTGAGAGAACAAATGTCTCAACAAATATTTGAGACTTATTTTAGTTTAAAGAACTCTCGTTTGATTATTTTCCACTATTACAAGTTAAGTTGAGAGAATTAATGTCTCGACAAATATTCAAGACTTATTAAGGTGTAAAGAACTCTTTGATCAACTTCCACCATTGCAAA